GCACGACCAGCGCGGCACATCCCCGCCTACGTCTTCACGACTTCCTCACCCGCCTCAAGTCCGCTCTCGCCCCAAATACCCCTCCCTCACAGCACACTGGCACGACAAGGGCGCGGACTGGCGCACACTAGCACAGACATTGCCCAAAAGTTCACCCGCCGCGCCGCGGAGCTTCCTCTTCTTGATTGACGCCGTGACTCTCTTAGGCTCGCCCAGAAGATCGCCATCGACGCCGGCAAGATCGCCGCCGGCTCCGACACTGCAGAGGCGGCCGCAACGCCTCGCACACACCGCCGCACAACGCCCTCGTTTGATTTCTCTCTTGTGTCGATGCACTCTCGCTCTCGCTTCCCCCCCCCCCCTCCCTCCCTCCAAAGAGCAAGCCTCTTTTGCGACACCCTTTCCTTTTGTACCCACTGCCACCTCTCTCCTCTTAGGCGGAGCGCGCCCTGGCGCGGCTCGAGAAGATGGCGCGCCTCGACGCGGAGGTGCGGCTCGAGCTGCAAACGGGCGCTTGCCGACGGCAGACTATCGAGCATTAGGCGCTCAACAACGAGGAGGCCTCGCTCAGCACGATCCGCAAGGCGAACCTCAAGCGGTACATGTCCAAGGTCGAGGTCGCCAACCCCGAGTCGCAGAAGGCCATCGACGGCGCGCTCGCCTCGCTGTCCAAGACGTCGGAGGGCCAAAAGGCGATGGGCGCCGCGTTCCAGGAGCTGCTCGCGCACCCGGAGATGAAGGCCCAGGTGGAGACACTCGAGCCGCGCTACGGCGGGATCTTCAAGATGAGGCAGGTGGAGGGCTTGGAGATTGGGGAGAAGGAGGAGGTGGACGCGTAGACGACGGAGGGGCAGGTTGGGAGTGCTCTGTTGCTAGCTCTGTTGCCTGTATGATTTGGCCGCCGCCGGAGCCGTCTGGGTATATGTGCCAGAGAGAGAGAGAGAGAGAGAGAGAGAGAGAGAGGTAGAGAGGGGGGGGCGGTGGAGGGGACAGGGCTGCATCCCTCGAGCTCGACGTCCGAGCGAGGAGTCCCCTCTCGCCTCTGGTGCGCCGGTGCTTGCTTTCCGCCGGGCGGTTGCGATGGGCGCCCGCTCGCTCGTGGGGTTTTTGAGAGATGCTAGCACTCTGTCTCGGTCTCTGTGTTGTGCGCGAGAACTCCTGCGAGTCCGGGGCGGCTAAGATTACCGTGTATGCTACAACATTCTAGTCGACAGCCGACAGCCGAGAGAGACTCCGCGCGCTCTCGAGGCGCCTACCCCCCCCCCCTCCCCCCCTTCACTCACTCCCGTTGCCCAGCCATGAGCTCCGCCATCGACGCATCGAGGATGCCGACGGCGCGGTCGGCCTGCTCCGCAGAGACGATGAGCGGCGGCACCAGCCGCAGCACCTTTTCGCCCGCGGGCACGGTGAGCAGCCCGTTGCGCATCGCGGCGGCGGTCAGCTGCGCGGCGGTGAAGCCGCACTCTGCCGTGAGCTCGACGCCGAGGAGGAGCCCCCAGCCGCGGACCTAAGCGTGAGGCCGCGCGCGTCTGACCGTGGCGCGGCCTCCGAGTCGCGTCTGGCGCGCGCGATAAGTTTCGGCTCTCGCCTTCCCCTTGGGCACCCCGTGTTGCGTGTCTGACGGTGTCGCCGTGCTTTCTTTCGGTTTGGGGCCCCCGGGGTTGTACTCTTGGGTGAGTGCAGGGACGGGCCATCCCACTCACGGCAAACGGGGTGCTCTCACGCCACCTCGGCGATGACGCCCTCCCGCTTGGAGCGCAGCGCCTCGAGGCCGGACACGAGCTGCGCCGAGCGCGCGTTCACGTTGGCGAGCACGCCGTCGTCCTCGATCGCCTAGGGAAAAGGAGGGGGGGGGGGGGGGGGTTTCAGGTAGAGCCCAGCGTTGGTTGGCGAGCATAGACGATGCCTCCTGACTCCAGACCTCCCCACACACACAGAAGGCCCCCTCGAGCTGGTTTGGGGAGGTCGGTGGG